ATTAAATAAAATTGTTATAAATAATTATCTTTAAAAAAATATTGTAACCCTCAGTGCACGTGTCAAATTTTTCCAAAATGTTATCGTTTTTTGGGGTCTATATAAACAACCTTCGATAGCTCAGTTGGTAGAGCGGTGGACTGTAGAATGTAAACAAATGCCGAAATCCATAGGTCGCTGGTTCAAATCCGGCTCGAAGGATTTTTTATTTTTATTTCTAAAAACTATCTAAACTAAATTAAAATATAATAATTAGGTAGTTTATTTAGGTATTAATCATTATTTTTTGTATATTACGCTTATCTGCTTGTAATAATGATACTGGGGATAAAAGAAAATTTTGTTGTGTCATATAAATATTTTGACTAATTGACCCCAAAGGTCTAGAAATAATATAAAGAAATTAAATTTTTATTAAAGAAAACAAAAAAAAAAAAATAGTAGTTGTTCACAAGTAAAAATTAGTAGCAAATTGGTATATAAGTAAAGATTAAAAAAACACTTAAACTCAAAAAAATATTTTAGCAAATTTGTTTCTATATCGACTATCTATTTTCTAGATTCATTTACGTCGAATCTGCATTTTTGATGAAATGGTGGCGCGAACAGACACCAGAACACCAGGAGAAAGTGCGCGAGCTGATCGACCAGGGTCGCCTGGAAATCATCGGAGGCGCCTGGAGCATGAACGACGAAGCAGTCACCCACTATCAGAGCATCGTCGATCAGTTCACATGGGGATTCAGGTAAATAATAATAGAAATAGAAATTAATATCATAGAAAAGCCCTAAAAAGCTTATGAGGAAAAGAACAATTAAAATTGAGTCAATCAAATGCTTGAATTCAATTTACTAATCAAAGATCTTCTATTTTTTAATTTTTGCTTCAAAGCACTTTGTTACAAATAGACTGTGTAGCAAAAAAGTTTATACCCATATATTTATATTTAAACGTTGTTTTGCTAAGTAAGGTATATTCTAAACAATTTCTATAGAATCAAAAATATTAATACTTTTAGTGTATAAGGATGTGTTGGTTGAATGCTTTGAATACAATGACGTATTATAAAACAATAAACCCCATTAGTTTGTCTATATTTTGTCTGGAAGTTTTATACACTTTCTATAGAAAACATGTTATATGCCAATCCAAGTCTTTTTTGGTCTTTCGACTTATTGATTACGTTTCAAGTTTTTCAGATCCTTTTTGGATTCTGGATTTTGTGTACAATTGTAAATAATACCACTGAGCTTATACAAAATTTTCAAATTTCTGCGATCAGAGATAGAAAATGAATTAAGTATTTCTTCTTTGACCTTCTTTTTCAAAAGTTTCAAATATCATTAGATGAATTAAAGTAAATTTAATAAAAAGTATATATGTAGAGCAAGGCGAGGCACAAAGGTCCAATTTGACTTTAAGCAAATATTAATTATATTATAAAAATCAAACCAATTATATCTCAACAAATAACACATTTCCTCCGAACAATTATCTGACTACGTTCAGTAAAACTGCCAGCTACTTCTTCATTGTAGAAATGTGCTTTTTTGCTGTCTTTCAAAAATTTGTTATCTAGACCTTTTTACCCCATAGGCGGGGTAACTTGGAACGGCCAGGTGGCAAACAGTTTAATGTCTTATTTCAATTTTGAATGTATTTCACAAAATAATTACATTTTTAACTAATGCTAAAAAATTACTAAGATTACTGTTTATCTCCCGATTGCAAAGTCATGAGAATCAAGGTTACAGCTGGTTATACATCTTTTTCCCTCTACTTTCAAATATTGTTGGTAAACAATGCTTAACTTTACTGGTTTTTGACACATCGGTGGTGGACCTTTTTAACCCCGAATCTTCATATATTTCTATCTATTTTTCGATAAAATCTGGGAAATTATAACTGGGAAAATGTTATTCGACAAAATGCCCCTTTGATCGATACCAAATTTTAAATTTAAATAACATAAATAAGATTTAATATAAACTAGAAAATGTTTTATAAATACCAATGAGTATATAATTAAAAAAATGAGATGTTTCAGAGCACCGTGTTTGAGAAAAATATGATTTGCAGAAAAAGAGTGCTACAACGCCAAAAAGTGCATTTTCATATTAACATTTCAAAAAAGTTGATATTTTGAGTCTCTAGTAACACTTGCGGTCTGTTTAATAACGTTTTTGTGTATAAATAAACTGCTTACTACAATTCAATCATAATTAAATAATATTCACATAAAACATCCTATTAAACGTAATTGAACATCATCTAGCAAAATCATTTGACATTTGACGTATTAGCCACCGTCCATTGTTTTATTCAAATTACGCTTCTACAAAAATGTTCAAATTAAAAATGCAAAGTTTCTACGCGATTTTGAAATAATATCTCACCTTTCCGACAACCTACTGATTGGCACGAATTTTTCAAGACTAAACCTGGCCAAATCGGTTTAGCCGTTTTCGAGTTTTAGCGGATCATTTGATCGAGAGCTCCATTTTTATATATAAGATTATTCTATTCTATTTATTTTTATACCTATTAATTTTTTTCTCCCTTAGGCGTTTGAACGAGACCCTTGGTGAGTGCGCCAGGCCAAGAGTAGGTTGGCAAATCGACCCTTTCGGTCACTCCAGAGAACAAGCATCGATTTTTGCCCAATTGGGATTCGATGGTATGTTTTTGGGCAGATTGGATTACCAGGACAAGATGAGGAGATTGGAGCAGAAGGAACCGGAAATGTTATGGCATGCCAGTGACAATCTTGGTGAGGAAAATGATTGACGAATGTAAAACAACAAATTTAGATTGTTAGCAGGGTATTTTGGCTTAGATTAAGAACAGGGCAACTTTTAAGAAGAACCAAAAATTTTAATAAAAACAATAAATTTGACTCAGATTTAGAAAGGGCAATTTTTAAGGAGCTAAACCAAGATTTCGTTTAGATTCCGAATAGGGCAACGATGATTTAAAGAAGATCATAAACCGATAAAGGGTCGGTTTGAATTTTTTAACTTCCCGAAGGAGAAGTTTATGTTTTTTTAAAAAATCAGATTCGCTAATTTTATGGTTTCTCGACGTTTCAAGCCATAGTGAATCGAATGAGACCAAATTTGGAAAAAGTATGTGTGTGTCTGTGTATGTGTGTGAACAGATTTTTCGCCGTAAATCAACGTTTTCTCATAAACGGATGGATAGATTTCAAAAATTTAAAAGCTATTCGATGTATCTCGATGAGGACTAGGGTTTAGCAATTTTGCGCGACGATCAGCCAAGCCGTTTCTTTGTGAATAGTAGAAAAGTGAAAAAAAATGTCCACGTTTTAGCCCGCAGTTCTGAATCGATTTTTAAAATTCAAAAACTATTCGAAAGATATTGATTGGAAATCGTGCTGATTAGTTTTATGATTTTTTTTTAATGGTAGATACCATAGTCTTGTAGATCATACTAAAACATTACGGCCCTACGACAATTCGTCAAAGTTTGCAAAAATTAATATCGTTTTTTTGACATTTGTCAAAATTAATTTGATTGACATTTTCTCAAAATCGTCTGAACCGATTTCAGAAAATTAAAAGCCATTTTATGTATCTCGATGAGGACTATTGTTTGTCAGTTTTGTGCGACGACCTGCAGAGCCGTTTTTTTGTAATTCGTTGTTGAAAAAAATTTAAGCCGATTTTTATGGAACTTTTTTTGGCGATATATATATCATGGCCTTATATAGCTTTCTGAAATATTACGGCCTTACGACAAGTAGTTTAATTTTAAAAATTCATCAAAGTTTGAAAAAATGAGTAGTTTTTTTTGACGTTTGTTAAAATTAAAATTAGACGATTTACTTGGTATAACGATAGAGTACTTGGTCTCTAAAAAACTGGCTCAATTATAAAAATTATTGATTTTTGAAAAATTGCTTTTAAAAAATATTCCGAACGGGTTGACGTGTTCGATTTTTAATAATGTGTAATAAATCCACTTTGAATACTTTTAATCACTCATAAATAAATAAATTTATTTTTTATTGATTAAGTCGAATATTTACACATATCGGGAAGTTCATTTAACTTGCCTCAAGGCAAAATACCAAACCAACTAGTTTTTTATTACAATTTAGGTGAAGCTGGTGACTTATTCACCGGAGTCCTCTACAATAACTACGGTCCACCACCAGGTTTTTGCTTCGATATTTTATGCCAGGATGAACCAATTATTGACGATAAACGCAGTTATGACTACAATGTGGACAGAAGGGTAAGTGTCTATTTTTTCTGGTTTTATATATCTATACATGATGGTTACAAAGAACTTTTGCTGTTGAAATCCATTACTGATTTTTAAATTTTAATAAGATTAACGAATTCCTAATGGCTGTGGAATCCCAAGCTAAGCATTTCACAACTAATAACGTTGTTCTGACAATGGGTGGAGATTTTACTTATATGGATGCACAAATGTACTTCAAGAATATGGATAAATTGATCAGGTAAAATTTGGATCGGGATAATTGTTTGTGATTGTAATACAAATGTAATACGTCTCTTTATTATTATTGGTTAATGGTGAAATAATGCATCGATGCATCTTAAAATTAATATTGAGATAAACCTTCTGAAGGTTTTTAATTAAAAACATTTCTACATTGCTTTTTTGTATAATACATTGCAGTTCGAATATACGATCGTATATTGAAACCAGTTTTCTAGTGATCCCAACATTTATTGAGAATTTTGCACATTTCATCAGGTTTTCATTGCTTTTATTCATCCATTTTATTTTAATAGTGACTTCTTCGAAATTTATCTTGCTTGGTAATTTTGGATCAAAATTTTATCCATTTTTGTTTTGTCTATTAATCAGTTTTATTTAATCTTGCGCCCATGAAGAACAATTTCTACCAATTCGTGCCCTGAATTTTACCTTTAAAATTAACGAAAGTTCTTTGCAACCATCACTTCAAAGTTGTTTTCGATTCTAAATTTCTTGTATCTCGCAGATAGATAAATTTATAGAGTATTCAAAAATGCAAGCTGCATCTTATCAGACTGACAATATAATTTTGACCATGGGCGAAGATTTTAATTACCAAATTGCTGACTTGTGGTATAAGAATATGGATAAACTTATTAAGTGAGTAGAAAAACGTAGAAAAATTTGGTAAAAAATATTTGTTATAAAAATCAGCTTTTATTTTGGTTGGAAGACTTGAAGTTAAGTTTGTGTTGATAAACCAAATTCTCATTCTTATCGATAATAATTGCAAATAAACTTATTAAGCTTTTATCATCACATCATCATCCCACTTCTGTATTGTAAAATTCTCGTTTGTGTATCTTCTATTATTAAACTTTTTCTAATCCAAATTTTTATCAGTCTTAGATTTGGTTAACATTTTTTTCTTATTCAGAGAAACCAACAAAAGACAATCCAACGGCTCCTTAGTCAACGCCTTCTATTCAACTCCTTCGTGTTACCTGAAATCTCTGCACGATGCTGACAAAACCTGGACAACCAAAAACGATGACTTCTTCCCTTATGCATCAGATCCACACACTTACTGGACTGGATATTTTACATCAAGACCAACTTTGAAATGGTTCGAACGAGTTGGAAACAATATGCTGCAGGTAGATATAAAAAAATCTCATATTGCTTTAAGGACAGATTCTGCTGCATAACAGAAAAATGTTATGGCAAGGCCATGTTATGAATAACTTTCCATACTATTGGCAATAGCCATGTGGTTGGTGTGCAGTCAGGCCTATTTCTCACAAATATCAAAAATATTATCTCAGATAACAGGGTCTTTCTGACACAGCTTCATAACATACGCTTGACGTTGCAGTTTATGTGTAAAACGCCTGAATGCACAGCAAATACATGACATGTTGATAGTATTCAGTATGATTCAGTAACATAATGTATGGAAGTTGGCCAATCGGTCCTTTATTTGATTTATTTGATTCTTATGTTAATATTTCCTCCTACTAGGTATGCAAGCAGCTCAACGCTCTCGTCAAGAATGAACCAGACAGTCTGGAGTTATTAAGGGAAGCAATGGGTGTTATGCAGCACCATGATGCAATTACTGGTACTGAAAAACAACATGTAGCTGAAGATTATGCTAGATTGCTTCATGATGCAGTCAGTGGATGTGCTGAGAGTGCAGGAGATGCCATCAGGTAACTGAAACTATTAGTTAAGGCAAATTGTTGGAACTTCCCGTACCAAAAATTATTTTCCCGTAGATTAAAAAGCTGTACTCCTCTTCCGTCTATGGTATTGAAAGATGCTTCAAGTTTAAAAGTTGGTCTTTTTATAGTAAAATTTCTTTGTCTGATTGCTTGTGCCTTTGTTCTAATTCCTCTGACAAAAGTAATAATTAGATTAAGAAAGTAAAGTCTAGGCTCTATCATCCTACAATTTTCAGCGGGATTTAGAATAGGGTTTCTACAAAAACCGACATTTCAGAAAACCGGTTTTCGAATCTTAATTTTACTAAAAAACCGGTTCTAACCAGTTTTTGAATTTTATATAGAAAATAAATTTTTGCTCGAATATTCTGTAATTTATCCGCAAATTTAGTGTAAATTAGAGCAGTATTTGACTGAATTTATTTATTGTTCAATTTTATGGATAGTAAACAAAATTATTTTAATTTTAATTAATAGAACTAAAAAATAATAGTATATCTTAATTAAATAACTTTGAAAATAATTATTCGTTATTCATGCATTATTTTCACATATAAGAATGAAAATATTTTTATAATAGTGAAAGGAAAGTTTATACATTTTTAAATAAAAAAATGCATTAAATTAAAAAAAAATAGATACATGTTGATACATACTTGTTAATACCAATTTTAGTTTTAAAAACAATTAAGCTAAACTCGGGTATTGTCTGTTCCGAACAATTTTAATTAATTAATTCCAAACATTCTAATTGTTTTTTTGTTTAATAAAATATGATTTTAAGAATCTGAGAACATTTATCGAATTGCTACTTAGACGTGTTCTTTGTTTACTCACAAAATTTCCTGAAATAGAAAATACTCTCATACTTGCGACCAATTATGCTTAATTGTTTTTAAAGCCTGATATAATAATTCTAAGTTTTTTGTTCTTTAATTTGTGGCTTCTAGGGTTTAAAACTTTTTTTTTAAGTTTGAGTAGAAAAAGTTACTTCTTCAAGAAGTCACACTGATTTAAATTAATATATACACTGGTATAAAAATCTAAATTAATTAATACAAAACCTTTCTGGGAACCATTGCAGACTGATAAGATATCAAATGCTATTGAACCGATATATTTCAAGAATCAAATCGCTTTCATCTATCTTTTATATATGGCTATATTTGTCATTTTTCATTTATATTGTGAAAACCGACTTTTTTCACTAAAGAACCGGTTTTCGAATTCCATAATTTTCTCCGAAAACCGGTTTTTGAAAACCGACAAACCCTAATTCAGAAAGATATTGGTGTATCACGTTATAAAGACGTCACGTTCCAATTGACCACGGAGTACTTTTTTCTGCAAATATTTATTACATACCTATTTTGAAAAATCTTAATCATTAAGTGTAAGGATACTGTTTCATAGTTAGAATTTCTGATGCTTTTTGATAAATGTTTCTAAGTTTCTCCACTAACTCTGGTTTTATCATTCGTTCCAGAAAAATTTTTGCAAATGCCACAAATGTGTCCAGCCAGTACAACAAAATGGCACTCAACATGGAACTGCAGACTTGTCCAGGTTTGAACATCAGTCAGTGCTCATACACTGAATCTGAGGACAACTTTGTTGTAACTTTGTACAATCCCTTGGCTCGTTCGAGGAAACAGTTTGTCAGATTGCCTGTTCAGGCTGGAACTCAGGATGCTCAAATCAGTTACACTGTCATGGATCATAATGGTAAGAAGAAATCTACACCTTACTTCTACATTATTAAACCTTCAATTTGTAGAAGTAATTTCCTGTAATTTTATTACAGGTGCAACTGTTCCTTCGCAATTGGTGCCAGTACCTGTCTTTGTACGTAACCTTCCTGGTAGAACTGCCAAAACAACAGCAGAATTAGTGTTTGCAGCAGATATTCCTGCAGTAGGTGTTGCTTCCTACTTTGTGCATCGTCAAAAATCTAAAAACACTGGAGAAGAAAATGCAGACTATTTGTACGCCAATTTGAAATCTGCTGAATACAAGGATGCTGATCAAATCGTATTAGGATCATCGGTAAGATAATAAAAAGTAACATCATTTTAATCTTTGCTAATATATTTTTTTCTATAGACTCTCAGTCTGACCTTATCTACTTCAACTGGACGTATTTTCAACGCCTCCTTCAACGGTACAGAACTTCCACTGGAGCAGGAATTTGTTTACTACCGTGGAGCCTCTGGTAACAACGAAGTTTTTGAAAACCGTTCTTCAGGTGCATACATTTTCCGTCCAAATGGAACAGCACATCCTTTCCTGAACGGAAAGGAACCAGTCAAATTCGATATGGTTGCTGGTGATTTAGTTGACGAAGTCCATCAGACCTGGGGTGAATTTGTACACCAGATCGTTAGGGTTTATAAACTTGGAGCTGATGCTGTTGAGTTTGATTGGGTCGTTGGACCTATTCCTGACCATAAGTATAATAATTTGCAATTATAACAATCTTGCAAAAAATTATTTGATGTTTTTTATCCAGGGATCCATTTGATGGTAGAGAAGTAATCAATCGTTTCTCCACAAACTTGAAGACTGATGGTCACTTCTCAACTGATTCTAATGGAAGAGAGACTTTGCACAGAAAGTTGAACCATAGAGATACCTGGAATGTCTCGATTGTGGAAAAAGAAGCTGGAAATTACTATCCTATCACATCCTTGTTGAGATTGACAGGTAAGACGAGAATAAATGAAACATTTGTGCATATCCTCATAATTAATTTATTATATTTCCTTGTTTTAGGTATGGCTCCAAATTCTGGTAATGGTGTTTCTTTAGCTGTAATTCCAGATCGTGCTCAAGGTGGTTCCAGTTTGGCTGATGGTCAATTGGAATTGATGGTAATGATGGCAAAAAGTCATATATTTAATTACTATTCGAGCCTCACAAATTTTATTCATCTATCTTTGTTTATCTGACATAATAAAATAATTTCCTACCCTAATATAGGTACTAAGCTAGTTATAAGAAATTATTTATTCTGTACGCATAACTTGAACCGTGAACATTAAACAAATAAATACTATTAATAACTAAACCAAAAAAAAAAAAATCACTACGCACGAACACTTTATTACCTCGAAGGACCAGATATACTTAATTATCAAAAAGGCTTAATCAGATCTGAAATAACATAGAACTGATTGGAATATAATAACTAGTTCAGAAATTGTTTGTAGAAATGTAATGTATTTAATTTTAGTTAGATGTATTAGATGTTATCGAGTCAAGGTATACGTACAGAAAGAATAATTTCTTATAACTAGCTTAGTACTTATACTAGGGTAAGAAATTATTTTATTATGTCAAGTAGACAAAGATAGATGAATAAAATTTGTGAGGCTCGAACATGCCGCCGCGTTTGAAAAAACAATGGGAAATTAATTTACATGATTTTTCAACATTGCTTCATATAGTTAATGTGTTATATTAAAGTTACAATATAAATGTATGAAGATTAATTAGTTATAATAATATGTAAAAATGATTGATTTGATTATCACTTAAATTCTAGTAATGATTAAAGTCTTGTGATAACGCAAATTTTATTAATCCATTTCTTTTTACCTATATTTATTTATTTATTTATTTATTTATTTAAATATATAGCCCACAGATTTCTCCAAGAGGACTCAAAAATACAATTATTTTACATAATGAATAACAAATAAAATATATACAAAATTACAATATATAGTTAGTAACATAAAATGCTAAGATAAAATTGCATATAATGCAGAATGTAACAATAATATTTATAAACAGAATAAGAAAATAACGAGATATTTGAAAGAAAATAAAAAGATTAACTTGTGCAAACGGAGATTATTTGATTAGGTGAAGTGTTGTGAATGTCTAATTCATTATTAATTAAGTTAAAGTTAGAGTTACCCTCTACTCTATAATAAAATAATTTCTAAAAATAATTTAAAAATTGATTTTGTTATTTATTTTGATTATAGGTGCACAGACGTTTATTCAGAGACGATGCCTTTGGTGTAGGTGAAGCTTTAAACGAAACTGCTTATGGTCAAGGTTTGGTAGCTAGAGGAACCCATTATGTAATGGCAGCAAGCACTGAAGGTAATTAATAAAAAATAATAAAAAAACTAGTGGTGTATGGCATCGTGCCTTAAGGCAAATTGCTGGAACTTCCCGTACCAAAATTTTTTTTTTGAAAGATTAACATTTTTGAAAAAAAATTACTTTGAAAAATTAGATTTTTGGGAAACTATAAATTTTTGACAAAAATTTACTTTTTTTTGAAAAAAAGACTTTTTGAAGAAAAGTGTATTTTGAAATATTTTGGAAATTCTGAACTGTTTTTCAAAGCAATCGTACTGCTTTAACTGAATAGAGACAAATTATCGATGAAAATTTGTATCCGAACACACATAAACACGCACACACATACACACGCACACACATATACACACACACATACATCCATTTTTTCTAAGGTATACTAAAATATTCAGAAACCTCTGAAACGTAAAGATATATACAAATTTTCATTTTCGATTTTTTTGCGATTACTATAACTTACCCTACGGGAAGTTAATTACCCTGTATGGCAAAGTGCCTAAAGGCAAATTGCTGGAACTTCCCGTACCGTAATCAAATATTCGAGAAATTTTAAACGTTTTCAAATATATTATTACAATAATACTGTAGCTTTCATTATGTTTGCATTATCTTGTTATATCTGAGCAAATCAAATGTAAATCATAAATCAATTTATCTTCAGAACATTATTAACAATTGTCATTTTATTTCCAATTCAATTTAAATAAAAAATAGTTGCCTAATTTACACATAACTGAAAAAGTGCTACCGTATAATCACAGTCTAAACGCATTTGCAAATAATTTTGTGCGACATTTTCACTTATACTGTGCTTAGCTCGGCGGCATTTTCACATTTTTCAATAGTTTTCACAAAATTGGAAAAGTGCTCCAGACACAAAACAGTCTAAATGCACTTGGGTAAACATTTGCACCAGAGTGGCGCTTAGACTGTGCTTAGCCCGGGTAATTTTTTGAATTCTTAATTCAAAATTACAAAAATATTTTATAAAAAATAAAAAAAGATGTAATAATTTTTTATCCTCAAAAGCAATTGTTTTGTCAATACAAGTAGAAAGTTTCACTCAAAAACTGCCATTTTTGCAAATTTAGCTCGGTATCTCCGGAATGGCCTGACCTGTCTTTTCCAAAAACTTATCACGTCTTCTCGCAATCATTACAAATTGAATGTTTGTTAGATCATTCAAATCAGATGCTACGTTCTCTCAAAAACTCAATTTCTACTTTCTGCACTCTTTGCTCCGTATTTCCGTAACGGCTGAACCTGCCTTTGCCAAAAACTAATCAGCACATCTCCCTATTAATAGGGATCGATTGTTTTCTAAACCATTCAAATCGGTTGATCCGTGCGCCCGAAAACGTGGACGAAAAAATGCGAACATACAAAACACTCACACACACATCCATGAATTTTCTGAGGTATGCCAGTAAAACGTTCAGAAACCTTCAAAACGTCGAGAAATGCAAAAATTTCCATTTTTGATTTTTGGCCCATTACTATAACTACCCTATGGAAAGTTAATTAAGTATCTTCCTATAAAAAATGCAAATCGTGTCGATGTTTATCTTATTGAAGCACTCATAAGTTGCTCATCGAATCTGGTATATATGTCTGATATTTTATTTATTTTATTTATTTTAGACAAAACTGTTTTGGGCAGAGAAAGAGTTTTGGCACAAGATGTCTTACTTCCTGCAACCGTATTCTTTTCAAGTGCGAAGAACTTCAGCAAGGAACAATGGAAACAAACTGCACAAAAGGTAAGTTTGGCAATGACTCGAGAACCAAAACAACCATCGGGTACAATAACAATTTATATTCGTCTTTGCAGTACTCTGCTTTGAAGAAAGAACTTCCACCATCTCTACATTTGTTGACCTTAGAACCCTGGGGCAACGGTAAAGTCCTTCTCCGTCTGGAACACTTCTTTGAACAACAAGATCACCCCGAGTGGTCTTTACCAGCAACTGTAGACTTACAGGTACTAACCAAAACATTCAATTCCTACATAATCAGTTTAATATTATATATATATATATATATATATATATATATATATATATATATACAGGGCCGGTCCTGCCTTGCATGCGATGCATGCGAAAAATGCGGGCGCAAGCCTTAGGAGGCGCCAAAACGAGTTTCGAAAATTAAATTTATAATATACTATTTATATTTTTTATATAAAATCTAGAATTATTTGTTTAAAATCTAGAATACTTTATAAATTATAATAAACAATCTAACTTAACTAGGGATACGTAGACACAAAAAGCATATTTATTTTGCAATGTGATATCAGTAGAGACAATTAACCGATTAATAATTCAGCAAATTAGTAAATAACAGCTCTGTTTAAGAGACAATTAACCGATTAATAATTCAGCAAATTAGTAAATAACAGCTCTGTTTATTGCTTAATCTACTTATTCATTTTTTTCTTTGTTTGAAGTTACCGTGGAATCGAAAAAGAAATTATCTAGTGTTCAATCCCATAAGCGCAAACCTGCGAAAAATTAAATTAATTGTTGGGCATTATTGACGAAAAATTGCGAGCTAATTTAGTTGAATACGAACTTGTTAAAAAACATAAACAAATTATAAAAAATGGGGGGTCAGTGCTTAGAAAATGACTTGTTTATTCTGAGAAATTGAATTGCAACTTTTGCTTTTGTGGCAAATGTTTCACATCTGTTGAACTTTGAATGTTGAAGACATGCGTGGAACAAATATGAAAAATGGAAGCAAAATTTACTTTGGAACGAAAATCTTAAGGCTTGTTTTATACCTTTGTGGTGTCTATACTCTAAATTTATTAATTATTAACTATACAGAAGTAATACATATCAAATATAATAAGTTTTTTTTTCAATATTGTTCAAGAAATGTGTAATTTCTTTGCATTTTTTACTGATTTTTTAACAATACTTCTAAAATACGTTAAAAATTTAACTTTAAAACAAGCTGATATTCTGAATATAACGTCTCCTACGATATCAATAAGGAGAAGTTTACGACGCAATTTTGGATATTGTAAATAATGAAAAATTAAATCAAATTAAAATTAAAAAAATCCAACATGAAATACGAGTGTTGGTTTGAAAATTAAATGCTAGTTTTTTTAAATATTAATATTGCACATACGTTAAAAATAATTGAAAATTTCAAAATACTTGATTATAATCAACTCCCGAATCGCCTCGTTTTTTTTAAATAAATTTAAAATCAATATATTTTATACGCTTTTAGATTATATCTAATTTTTTGTGCACGAAATCCAGAATAATTAACAATTGATTTATTTATTTCACTTAATATTTGTGTTAAATTAAAGTTTAAAATTTAAGAGTTAAATTAAAGTTTAAAATTTAAGAAATGCATTTCAGAAATAGTATTTATTATTTTGATATAAAGATCTTTATATCAAAATAATAAATACTATTTCTGAAATGCATTTCTTAAATTAAAATCTAACAAAAATATTAATTGTTTTGCTATGGTAGTCAAACTTACATCCTTAACAAATTTACTACATATTGAATATTACTAAAATGTGAAATTATGACAGGGATTGTTTTATTTATTGATATCGATAATAATAAATAAATTTAAAATCAATATATTTTATACCCTTCTAGATTATATCTAATTTTTTGTGCACTAAATCCAGAATAATTAAAAATTAATTTTTAAAAAATATGTAAATATTTATATAATTTTAATGATAAACTGTTAAAACGGTGAAAATTATTAGGGGGGAAGGCGCTAGAAAAAAAGCATGCGGGCGCTAATGACTCCAGGACCGGCCCTATATATATATATATATATATATATATATATATATACATATATATATATATATATATATATTATATAATTATATATATTATATATAATTTTCTTAGGATTTGTTCTCTGCATTCACTGTCAAATCACTACGAGAAACTACTTTAGGTGGTAACCAATGGTTGAGCGAAGCTGAGAGGTTCAAATGGAAAACCAATGACAAGGTAGTTATTTATCAGTATTTATTTTAGGATTTGGTATTGATGTTTAAATTTTTTATTATCAGAGAGCCAGAAGACACGGTGAATATTCAAATGATGCCAAAACATACAAAATGGAGAAACATTTCGTCCCATTGGCTGGTACCGAAGTCACTTTGAGGCCCATGGAGATTAGGACCTTTGTTTTGGAGATTTAATTGATAATGGATTTTGTGAAGTAGATGTAAGTTAATTTTAAAGGTAATATAGTAATTGATTTTTAACATTTGAAAGTAGTTTTACTATTTTGCCAAATGAGCAATAGACGGATTTTTATCAAAATGATTTGATAAAATTTTAATGAATTACGATTTCTGAGTATGGAATATTGTATTTTAAACTGGTATTTAAAAAAAACTGCTAAAACGATCTTTACATAAGGTCTGAGAATTTTATCAATAAATTAGCATCATTCGAATGTCTCTGCAATTTTGTAACTTTTGACGATTAATGATTTGTTTAATAATTAATTGTCGAGAGGAGGATAAGCAGATTTTTACGAAAAACTAAAGTCGACGTCTCTCCAATTAAAATAATTTAAACATACACTTGAAACCCATCAGGTTTTTTGGGTTGACGATTTTTTTTTTCAATTAATTTGTAATTAGAAGAAGTAGGAAACTACTTGTTGTGCCAATTTGCAGAATATGATAAATTCAGAATAAGCAAAGGCGACTTACATACACATTACATAAAATATATTTATAAACAATCAGACAGAATTTTCAATAAAATGGAAATGTTTGCTATAATGTTTGAATTGAGACTGATGATGAACTGCTTCTTGCTCCTCTGTGGCGGAAACAGTGTTGCCAAAGGGGTACCACAGATTCTTTGGTGTTACCACATGTTGCCCTATAATATTGCACGATTTCGAGGGATGGCATAACAGTTTTAACGATTTAAAATTTGTTTAAGAATTAATTGTGCAGAGAAGGATAAGCAGATTTTTACCAAAAGCTAATGGGTTGACGATGTTTTTTTTTAATTAACTGGTAATTGCGAAGACACTGCTTGACTGATCATCACTTTAATTTTGTTTTTGATTTGAAGGAATTTCTTTTTAGTAGAAACTGCTCGACTGATCATTATTTAGTTTTAAAATTCATTGCATTGATTTTGGGGAAATTGCACACGAAAGAAAATTTGCAATCGCATACATTATTTAATTTACTAGTCAAACGATTTAAAGCAATGTTTCTAAACGTGAGGTCCGCGCCACGGAAAAATTGTGGCAAACTTTAATGAAGTTTTATAATTGTTGCAAACTTTAATGAAGTTTTATAATTCAATTTGATTTATTAACTTCCCGAAGAAGTTTATATTTTCATCAAAAAATCCGATTCACTAATTTCATGTTTTTACGAAATTTCAAAAAGTATGTGTGTGTGTATATTTGTACAAATTTTTTGCCATAAATCGACGTTTTCTCAAAAACGGCTGGACCGATTTCAAAAATTTAGAAGCCATTCGATGTATCTCGATGAGGACTAGCGTTTATCAATTTTGCACGACGATCATCCAAGCCGTTTCTTTGTAAATAACAGAAAAGTGAAAAAAATCTGTTGAAAAAAAAAATTCAAGCCTATTTTTATGGAACTTTTTTGGCGATATATATCATGGCCTTATAGAACTTACTGAAATATTATGGCCTTACGACAAGTAGTTTAATTTTAAAAATTCATCAAAGTTTGAGAAAATAAGTAGTTTTTTGACCTTTGTTAAAATTAAAATTAGACGATTTACTTGGTATAACGATAGAGTGTTCGTTCGTTTTCAATGGTGTGTAATAAATCCACTCGGAATACTTATAATCACTCATAATTTTTTTTTTTTATTGATTAAGTCGAATATTTACACATATCGGGAAGTTCATGTAACTTGCCTCAAGGCAAAATACCAATATCAACTAGTTTATCTAATATTTCTGATATTTATTTAGCATATGATATCTATAGATGTAAAAATAAGAATAATAATAGCAATTTCAAGCAAATAGTTTCACCATGTAGCCAAAGATACTTAATTATTCTATTATTCCACAATAGAAATCATATCAATTTTCAATTGTAAAATTACTAATGCGGTTTCATGAAATTTAGACTGTCGTATAAATATAAATAAATAAAAAATTTCCAAACATGTTATCTTTATTATATCAGAACAATTAACGTTATTCGCTTCGGTTGTCATCATCATCATGATCATCATATATTTATATGTACTATCGTACTATCTTCCTTACTTTCGACAGAAATTAAAAATTAGAAATGCCATCACGCTCCAAACACTCTGGAAACGAATCGAATCGGAATCGGAATCGTCTTTCTAAATTATTTTGGCATTTTTGCAATAATAATAAATAATTAATCAGAGGCAATAATTAGAGTTTATAAGAATTATTGGTTTTTGGCCATTTAGATACAAATTTCCACTTCAGGATCTTAAAATCTTAAAGATTTTTTTTTGTTCTCTGGAGTAGCTACCAAGTTTGTCCAATTACACAGCTATCACAGGAAATCTGAAGACGTCGTAAAATAGAGAGTATAGACTAAAAAAATCAAATTTGCACCAAAAAATTATCCAAATAAACACGTCAATTTAAAAAAGAATAGGTCAATAAGACTTGTACGAGAAACGAAAAATTTATTGGACGGGTGTAAAAGTAATAACATAATTAACTTCCCGTAGGGTAAGTTATTGTAATCGTCCAAAAATCGAAATCAAAAAATTTTTACATTTCTCGACGTTTTGAAGGTTTCTGAACATTTTGGCATACTTCAGAAAAAATGGATGTGTGTGTGTGTGTGTATGTATGGATACAATTTTTCGTCCACGTTTTCGGGCGCACGGATCAACCGATTTGAATGGTTCGAAAAACATTCGATTCCTATTGATAGGGAGATGTGCTGATTAGTTTTTGGCAGAGGCAGGTCAAGCAGTTACAGAGATAAAGAGCAAAGTGTGCAGAAAATAAAAATTGAGTTTTTGAGAGAACGGAGTATCCGATTTGAATGATCTAAAAAACATTCAATTAGTAATGATTGAGAAAAGTGTTTACTAATTTTTGTGCAAAGGCAGGCCCAGCCATTTCGAAGATATGGAGCTAAATATTAAAAAATGGCAGTTTTTGAGAGAACTAAGCGTCCGATTTAAATGATTCAAAGAACTTTCTGCTTGTCTTTTTCTTTTTTTTGTATATCGAAAATAATTCAGATTTTTTAATTCTGACTAAAGTTCTAATATACTTTAAACAAATAATTTTAACTTTGCACTTCAGTTTATATAATTCTTATAAATATTAGACAATGTTACAATATTTATAATGATCTATTTAAAAACATTTAGTATTCCTCGAACATTTCGTTACGGTACGGAAAGTTCCAGCAATTTGCCTTAAGGCACGATGCCATACACCCCACTAGTTTCATATTTTTTCTATAAATTTGGGCAAATTTATATCTTAAGTTAAAACATTTTTCTGAAATGTAACGAAAAAGTGTACCATATTTGCAACAATTCAGAAGTAGCTTCTTGTTCTTACCAAGTAATTTCTCTGGTGACTTTTGAACTTGACATAAAATAACGTACTCTCCGTACTCTCATGTCGCATTAATTTTTAAAAAAAACGACAAATTATGCAAAAAGTCCGGTTTGTCTTTTGTCTTTTGCATTTTGTGTATTTTTGTCACGTCCCGACATTATTATACGGTCGAGTGTTCAGAATAAGAACGTTTTTGAACCATTGCGTAACATACATAAATGACATCTTATTTATTTTACTTGAACATACTCGTTTATTCGTCGTCATTAGGTAAATATTATTTAAAAATCATTTAGAGATGAAAAAACCATGTTCTTCGGATATCTATTACAGACTGAAGTAATTACCACGATAAATTTTTGTGGGTTTGTAAAAATTTGGAAGATTAAGGTTTTTTTTAATCCTATCCAATAATACTTCATTTTCTCACCCAATTTTATAGTCAGTTTTGTATTATCAACTCCGACAATTAGCCAGACAAAAACCAGCGAAAGAAAATAATGTACAAGAAAGTGTAATATGTACCCTCAAGTTCTTGACTTGAGAGTACATATTACAAATGAACAATGAAATTAAATAGGTATAAGTGGCATTTTGCTTTAAGATAAAATGTATGTACTTGCCGATATGCGTAAATAATAAAGTTAATCAATAGGAAATTGCAATATATTAATTATTATTTATCAGGCACATGCTTTTTTAAGTTGGCGAGTTAATTTACCTGATTTTTTTGATTTTCCTTAAGCTTTAAAGCAAATTTGATTTTTTCAGTCTATACCTTCTATTTTACAACGTCTTCAGATAATCTGCAACGTGTTCAGACACTTTACAATATAAACTTGCTACATTTTTTGGCAATCTAAAGCACTTTTAGACAATTTACAATATTTTCAGGCAATTATTAGTACACTTTCAGACAATTTATAACTTTCCGCAGTGTAAGTTATTGTAATCGTACAAAAATCGAAATTGAAAATTTTTACATTTCTTCACGTTTCGAAGGTTTCTGAACATTTTGGCATAACTTAGAAAAAATGGATGTAAGTGTGTGTGTGTGTTCGGATACAAATTTTCGTCGACGATTTTGGGAACACGGATCAACCTAATTGAATGGTTCAAAAAACATTCAATTCGTATTGATAGGGAGATGTGGTGATTAGTTTTTGGCAAAGACAGGTCTAACTGTTACGGAGATACGGAGCAAAGAGTACCAAAAATAGTAGTTCAGTTTTTAAGAGAACGGAGCGTCCGATTTAAATAATTCAAAAAACATTTTACGTGCATTGAAGAACTGATTAATTTTTTGGGAAGCCAGGTCCAGCGGTTATGGACTTTCAATTAAAATAAGTTAAAAAAATATCATTTGGCGGTCAAAAATGTTTATTGGACATATGTACCTCAAATTATCAAATATTTTATAGAGATTTGAATAATGTGTACACATTTTGTGTAATTTTTTTTGGGTTCCGTACCAAGATTATTAATTACGGTACGGAAAGTTGCAGGAATTTGCCTTAAGGCACGATGCCATGCACCCCACTAGTTAAATTTAGTACCTAAACAATTTCCTAACTTTCTTTCCCTAACCCCAATATTTTCCGGTAAGGACAGCCTTGTTTGGCGCTGCTTTGCATTACGCTCTTTTTTGATGGAATGTATCCTCTGCGTTAAGCGGGTACTTAATTAGAATTACGTATTACTGTAATTAGAAGAAGTTAAAAAATAAAGCAAGGTTAGGAGATAAGGAAGAATGAAGAAGTCGGTTATAAAGAAAATTGGAAAGATTTTCTTATCTATGGATAGTACTATGTGATATAGTAAATATAGAATTTTTTTTTTATTTATTATTTTTGAACAGCAATCAGAACCTTACGTCCTATGAGCTGTTGGGCTAAAACTTCTCCTTACTTCGTATTTTTTTTAGATGGTAACCCAATGATTAATCCATCCATATTTGATGATTTTGTTATTAGAATTAATCTAATAGGGTTGACTTTTTTTTATTGGTGCAGCAATGCCGGCTGAGGGCTATTTTCACTTGGTGAAAATTTCCAAGTGAAAATTGCCTGACAACAGGCTGCTTGAAGTGGGTATCGAACCCGGGACCTCTGAATCAAGTCCCGTCGCTCTTAACCGCTTACCTACGGTTAAGAAATAAACTAAACTAGCTGTAAGTGGAATTCTGTCTTAAGGCAATTAGGGCATCGTGCCTTAAGGCAAATTGCTGGAACTTCCCGTACCAAATATTATTATTTTTTTTAAAAACGATTAACATTTTTGAAAAAAAATTACTTCGAAAAAATAAGATTTTTGAGAAACTATAAATTTGACAAAAAATTATTTTTTTTGAAAAAAAAAATTGAAAAAAAAATTATTTAAATTTTTTTTTTAAGTCTTTTTTTTGAAAAAAAATGTTTTGTTTATTTTGACATATTTTGGAAATTCTGAACTTTTTTCAAAATAAACGTACTGCTTAACAGCATAGAGACAAAATGTCAAAGCGCGTAAGCGCTGCGTCGCCGTCTAACGAATAAACATTGATACGTAAATTTTTATAAAATATTTGATAATTTGATGTGCATATGTCTAATGATCATTTTTAACCGCCAGCTGGCATTTTTTTTACTTTTTTTATTAGATCTCCGAAACCGCTAGACCTGCTTTCATGAAAATTTGATCAATTCTTCATCTTGTCAATACAAGTAAAATATTTTTAATGATTATTAAAATCGGACGTTCCGTTCTTTTAAAAACTGAGTGACCATTTTTTGGCACTTTTTGCCCCGTATCTTTGGAGCGGCTAGACCTGCCTTCGTCAAAAACTAATCAGCACGTCTTCTTGTCAATACGAATCGAATGTTTTTTGAATTATTCAATTAGGTTGATCGATGTTCCCGAAATCGTCGACGAAAATTTGTATCCGCACACACACACACACACACACGCACACACACACACACACGCACACACACACCCACCCACACACACGCACACAGACACATACATCCATTTTTTCTAAGGTATGCCATACTGTTCAGAAACCCCTGAAACGTAAAGATATATAAAAATTTTTCATTTTCGATTTTCGGCCCATTACAATAACTTACTCTACGGGAAGTTAGAAACAAATGTTTAGGTATGGTTAAATGCTCTAAGGTCTAAGTAAACGAGGTGATAGAAAAAAACTAGATAGTTTACACTTGCAACCAGTGTATTACTTGTAACCAATTATTTTTATGCGAATCTCCTTTGCGAAACAGAAATAATGTCGATTCTTGTCCAATTCCGATTTGGATTTAAAAGGCGTAATAAAACAATAACAACGCGTTCGGCGATCATCTGATCACATATGTTCGGTCCGTTCGTCCTCTTCCTTTAGTAGGCCAAACGTCGAGCGGCGATCGCCGAACGCGAGAGAAAGTCTCTGGTCGGTTGCAATACGAACGACCGAGAGGCGGCGAGGCGGTAGTGGGAAACACTCTGACTTCTCGCTACCGACTACCGACTAACAAAAGCCGAATGCCACAAACGGAACAAACGCATTTCGGAATTGACTTCGATCGGGATTACTTGTTGTTATTATTATTACCTTATTTCATTTTTGTTTTTGTTGCAAATCAAGTGTTCCGTAAGGATTTTTAGTGTGCTCTGTGATTTGATTTGATAAACGTAAACAAGTAAGTACGATATGTGATATTTGATGTTATTTTGATTTGTTAACATATTTTAAATTTTTTGATTTCACAAATTGCAGTATGAGTTTTGATTATTTTAAATTAATTTTTGTATACATTTTATTGATTAAAAATGTTACTAGTGATGTAACATTTGTAAAATGTAGTGATGTAAAAATATGTATTCTTATCTTCTTATTCTTTTTTTAAATATTTATTCTATGTCAGCATTCGATGAATTATTTACAAAGTAAAAAATAATATATAATATTGATATTCTTACTTCATTCATTTTATTTTTAACTTGTTATTTTAATTTACTCATAAAGTAAATATATATGAATTTTGATACTTTGAAACTATTTTCATTTTATTGTTTACTTTAATCATGAAAGAAATATTCCTCAAGTAAATAAGAACATTATGTGGTTTTGTTATATTTAAATCAATTCGTGAACATTTTTTTAAATTTCATATATTATATTCTTTTCCTTACTACTAGTTGTACATCATATGAACTTTGATAATGTAACTTTTAGTTTTAATGTTACTTTTTAACTTCCCAAAGGAGAAGTTTATGTTTTCATCAAACAATCCGATTCGCTAATTTTATGTTTTTTCTCAACGTTTCAAGCCATTCTGAATCGAATGAGACCAACATTTGAGCCGATTTTTATGGAACTTTTTTGACGATATATATCATGGTCTTATAGAACTTACTGAAATACTACGGCCTTACGACAAGTAGTTTATTTTAAAAATTCATCAAAGTTTGAGAAAATGAGTAGTTTTTTTGACGTTTGTTAAAATTAAAATTAGACGATTTACTTGATATAACGATAGAGTACTTAATTAATTTTTCATTAATTGAATCGATTATTTACACATATCGGGAAGTTCATGTAACTTGCCTCAAGGCATATGGCCAATACCAACTAGTTAATGATTTAATGTTATAGTTTTAATTCTACTTTTTACAATTATCACAAATTAAGTAAATATATACATTACATATTCTAATAATTTTATATAAATTGGTGAACATATTTTTGAAATTTCATTATTCATATTCTAATAAGTACTATATTATAAAATTATAATTTTAAAAATAGTTTTTCAAATATATTTGTAACATATTATAGTAGACATATTATCAATTGTCATTATTATTATAAGACGTTATAAAAAATTTGATATTTTATATTACATTACTTCGTATTTTTTAAAAATTCTATTATACTTATTATTCGACATTAAATCAATTGTTCATAAAGTAAGGAAATTAAACATAAAACTACTACTGATAAAAATTAAGCAAAATTAATATTCTATTTTGTGGATTAGTTTTTCTATTTCGGAGTTCATTTTATAATTTTCTTACTAAATTATTATGACGAATTTATTAAGAAACATTAAAAAAGTACATTTTATTCTTTAATATTTTCAATAGTATTATAAATTTCCTCATACAGGATAAATCTAATTCATTATACAGTATACTAAAAATTTTTTGCTTTATGCAATTTCATACCATAAATAAATAAACTAGGTGTAAATGCCATTTTGTTTTAACACAAATTACAGAAACTTTCTGAAATGCGTGAAAAATCAGTATAAATTGTTATCTTGAAACTTTTAAAATTTTACAACGATTATCACAATTTTTAATGGAACTTTTATTTTCACTGTGTTTTTTTTTGACACAGTCTAAGTTCACATTATTTTTTGAAAATGTGTTGGATATAATTAATTTATGAATCAAGTTTCTAGAGACCAACAAAAATCTTAAGTTACAAAATACAGAACAAACAAAAAAATTAACGATTTAAAATCGAATACACAATTCTTAAATTAAAACTTTTTGCATCATATATATTTTTTCAATTGAGTTTTGATATAACGATGTATTGATATAAAATGTATTATTTTGAATATTGAAGTCCAATATATATTTTACTGCTTTTCAAGTAATTTATTTTATTTCGATATTGTGCATTTCAGTAGCAAATTTGTATTTTCCTAATTCATTATTTGGCTATAAAAATATGCCGTTTGGCTTAAAAATATTACGTTTTGATTCATTAATATATTTGTTTTTGAATAACTAATAAAACAAACCGTTTAATTTATAACTTCAATATTCAATATCAAATTATATTTTTGCTTCTCATTTTACTATTTTTTTGCTTCGCATATTATTATTTTTCTCTCCATAATATTCTTCTTGTGTAAACAAGAAAGTGCTAATATACACTATATAAACATTTATATGTTTATATTGATATGTTATTCTAAAATAACCATGATCATCCTTTGAAAACACATCTCGATATGTACCTACTAAAAATAATTTTCCATAATATTTATTTTTATAGCGCCAATGTGTTAATTAGCTGTTTTTGACTGCCAAAAATATTCCTACTAAATCTTTATTCATAAATCGAATGATAAACAAGTAAATGATAATATAATAATTAAAAATTTAATCTACGGTATCCTTTTAACATTATTTATGCATTCTTTTAATTTTATTTATTTGAGTTATATTTTTTAGATTTTTGTCAGAGGTTTTGATTCATAGAAATTGTATTTCATAATTTTATGATTAAAATTGAATTCTGTATAAAGTAAGAACATTTGTCGATAACATCAGTTCTTGCACGTGTTTATATTTCTGCATTTGCAGTTTAGAAAGTGAACCACCAGATCATTAGGGAAATATTTATACATACACACACACACACACATATATATACGAGGTCTGTTCAAAAAGTACCCGGAATTACTAATAATTAAATTTCGCGGGTCTGGAGTGTCTGATTGTCAAAATTTTTTTTTTATTGTGTTGGTATACATGCCCCTAAAGTATGATGAAATTTTCAGCTATATTCACTGTTTACTTTGTTTGTGGTAGTCGCTAAAGGTTCGACGTGCTTTTCTGAGCTCGGCGATTTTTACAATGGAAGAATTGAAAAGTCAAAGAATTTGTATTAAATTTTGCGTAAAAAATGAAATAAAGTGTTGCAAAGTGCAAAAATTCACCAGATATGACTCCGTGTGACTTTTTCCTATTCCCAAAGTTGAAGAGACCCATGAAAGGACGGCGGTTTTCCTCGATTGAAGAAAATCGCTGAGAGTGCTCAAGGACATATCAAAAAGTGAATATCAAGGGTGCTTCGAAAATTGGAAAAAACGCTGGCATAAGTGTATTATATTTGGGGGGGACTACTTTGAAGGGAACCACATTAATGTAGACGAATAAATAAATATTTTTTTGAAAAAACGAAAATTACGAAAACTTTTTGAACAGACCATGTATATATATATATATATATATATATATATATATATATATACAATATTCCATTATTTTCAATATTCAGGTGCTAATAATAATCATGATTTCAGTGTCAACTTTTTAGTAATTATATAAACATTTACTGTACATGTAATTTATTTATAATAATACAATGTGAGCAAGAGATGGTTTTAAAATTACACTGCTGTGATTGTTCTAAAAGCACCTTGAATTTATAGCGACCTGGATTTTTTATACACACTTGTGTAAATAATTATATGTAAAAACGTTTTTTATACCACCTCAAAAGAAATAATTACAAATATAATAAATCTTCCATACGTTTCGAGTCTCAATTTGACTCTTCTTCAGTAGAATTAACCCAAATTTTTAAACAACATGATGAAAATCACAAATAATGAACAAAAGACTTGTATAACAATTGTATTTTCAAAATAGAATTTAGTTTAAAAAATTGAATGAACGTTAAAATTTAAAAACCAGGTTGACTTTTGAACAAAACTGACATTAAATTGTTAGGTTATAATTTTTTTATTTACTATCACTATTTTTCAGCAGAAGTAAAATACTAGGACAATTAAAATTAGATTCAAATAAAAATTATTCTAATTTTCTAATAATGAAAAATTATAGTTTTGTTATTAGTTAAATATTATGTTTATTATTAATCACAAATTAATAAAATTAAATATTTTGACAGCTGTCAAATTTTACCGCCATTTTTGATTTTTTAAAAACCGTACTTAAAATTTGAAAAATATATTTTAATAAATTATTTTTATTGTTATAAAACTTATTAATTTAGAATTGAAATTGCATTTTATTAGCATAAATATAAATGTTAAACTGGGAAAATATAAGAACTTTTATACATTATACAAGATTTCGACAACTGTCAAATTTACCAACCGCCATTTTTGATTTCTTAAAAACTGTTTTTAAAATTTAAATTAATATATTATAACAAGTTATTATTTTTATGCAACTTGTTTTAGAACTGTATTTGAGTTTAATTAGAATAGAAACAGTAATAAGCATTTTTTTACCTTCATTACTTAGTTTATGATAATTGGATGGATGCTTATTGTATAAAACCCCAATTGTTTACTATAATTTTTTTCGACAGATGCTAAATAGCACAATTAAAACTAGCATTAAATATAGCAATTAAAACTAATTTCCAACAATGAAACACTATTCTTTCATCACTTATTTATTATTCACAAAATATTACAAATAAACATTTTGACAACTGTCATAATTAACAACCGTCATTTTTATTAGATTAGAAAAACTAAAATATATTTGTTAAAATTATTTTTGTAATAAAATATATTGTTTTAGAACTGGAATCGCATTTTGTTAGAATGAAAAAACAAACGTTAAACCGTGAAAACATGTGATTTTTTAAAACATTACTTAGTTTTTGACAACAGGACGGATGCTTGTATAAAATTTTCATCGTTTACTATCATCTTTTTTCAACAGAAGTAAAATTGTACAAGTAACACTACATTAAACATCGTTTTAGAATGAATAATGCAAAATATTATATCATTCCTATAATTTTATAGTAAAAATGATTAAAAATTTGATTATTCATAAATTTAATTTTGTAAAACCATTGTGAAGCTCGTCCATGTTCTAAGTAGGGAAAACTAAAATTAGTGTTGCCCGAGAAAGG